GGTGAGACATGATAGCGATTTTTTTTAATCTTTAATGAAATGTTTCTTTTGAAAAAAGTGTCTCCTCAGAATGAGGACACTTCTGCAGGAGCCAAATCAGAGTCATCTTAATGTTCTTGGTTTGTATGAGGGACTTGAAGCAGTATTTTGTGCATCACCACAAGCTTCCCTGAGAATCAGCCCACTGTTATTTCAGAGTCAAGGAGCACAGCTGACTGTGAGATTTGAATGGTTCCTGCTATGTACTGAAGGAAAAAGCCGTTGTGCCTCTATCTTTGGAAGATTTTTAGCTGTTTGGATTCACTTTCTACACGGTGGGATATGTGCAGTCAAAGATGTTTCTGCTGGAAATTGTTGGTGTGACTGTGCTGACTACTTTTGCCACCTCAGGTGGTTCCTCAACACAAAGCTGTGGAGAGAAACATCTCTTACGGCTTTCTATTGTAAGAAAATATAATGATTGGATGTGTTACAATGAACTGTTACATGATTATCATTTCTTCTGGCCTGCCTGGGTGAGAAAAGTTATCCTTGTCTCCCCCTGAAAAGTCCAAGAATGTTTGAAGTATGTAACTGTGACTTTCTCAACAGGGATAATTGTTTGAATTGTGATAGGGAGGATCCAGTACTTTACAGTTTGGTACAAAGACCAGAACTGAAGCATACTGAGTAGCATTTATACGTTTCTTCTTGAGCTGGGCTGGCTCATGGGCAGTGTGTTTGCTTTATTAACCCTGGCCAGATATGCCTTGACCCACAGTCTGAAATGATCCTCTTGGTCATGGGAGTTAAGTAGATGTTTTGCACTTGAATGTTGATCATACAGTGAGTGAGCTTGGGTTGTCTTGTAGTGGTGTGGTTTTTGTCAAGGTTCTTGGCATGAGAAGGGAACTGAAATGACTTTGCTTAAGACCACAGAGTGTAAATAACACTTCTGAAACCACTTCTAATCAGAGCAGCCTAACATGAGCGAATATTTTCAGAGCATCTTGTCTCTTTGATTTAGTACTCTTAGCAGTACATTGTAATACCTTATATTCTTCAGATATTTCTTATTTCTTCCAATTGCCACCACATTGATGTGGTTATTGTGTTGTACTTTGGTAGACCGGATGTTCTGGTGCACATCTCAGTCCTACAGTTTTGGTTTTTTTTTTCCAGCCTGGATGTAAATGCTTATTCTTTAGCAATATTTTTTGACTTAGTTGGTGAGAAAGGAAAAAAAAGGCAGGGAGTGAGGAGATCTGAAAGGTTTCCACCATGACCCTCAGTACCGTTTGGCAGAATGCCTTCTTGGTCCTAAGGATTTTTGTAGATTCAGGAAAGAGTTCAGATAAGGCTACTTTTGGTTCTGTTGACTCTACGTGATGGCTCACATAGGGCAGAAAGTGAGAAGTGGATTCAGATGTACTCGAAAGACCTGGACCTACCAACTGCTTGTTATTTGAAGGCTCCCTCTAGTAACAGCAGGGAAACAGAGGAGAACCAAATTGTACTTCTGTGTGCTGAACCAAAACTGCAGCATCTTGTAAAACTTAAATATCTTTAACCTGCCCAGTATATAGCTTTTAGTAGCTCTTTTGAGTATGTAGTTTGAGCAATAAGTTTGTTTGAAATCGGAACTCATTAATTGAAAAGTTGTTGGGATCAAAATACTGGAGTAGAAATAATGACAAATATTTCACAAAGTATCTCAAGTATTTCAGTCCACGGGAAGTGTTGTGAAACTTGGGATTTCCTGTTCTTATTTAATTTTTTCATAGTAAATATTGAAATATTTGTAAAGGAAATATACCAAGTGGAAAAGTGAACTGCTAGAAGAGCAGGAAGATTACTGATCCTACAGCCAGCACAGATGCTGGCTGTGCTTTGTGTCCCACTCATGAATGAAGTCAGTGCAATTCCCAAGGCAGAAAACCACCTGCATAATCTCCCTCCCATATGGGAGCAGCCATGGTTGAAGTACAAACCCTTCCTGGGCACAGGGACCTACGTGAGACAGAGCACACCAAGGGAGGCTGCCGAGGAGCCTTTTGGTTGTTTTTGTTACCAGCTGTTTTAAATGGCTTGTAATCGGTTGGATCCCGCTGAGTTTGGTTTCTACGACTCCCTTCACTCCTCTAATTGTTTCTAAGGAATGGTATTTGTAATTACTGCAGGTTAGTGGAAGTTTAATTTACCAGTAGTGCCTTAACTGTAACCACTTTTTTCTATCTAAGCTTGCTCAATTCATATTTGTGATAGTTTTGGATGTTTTTGCAGGGGGACTATCTTCCTAACTCATTGTCTCCATAGCTGAACTAATACAACAATTTAACTCCAATCTGTTAAGCAGAGTGGTCTAACACCATGCCTGTTGAACAATGATCTTCTATGCTATGCTGGCTGGGATGTGCCACACAGAAGAAGTTGTTTTTTAATCACTCAGTTCTCTGAATCCCATTTCTGCATCAATTTCTCAAGGGTAACTGGACAAAAGTAGTGGAATAGCAGAGCTACTGCTGCATAATTTCGCAGTGGTCACCAAAGGAGTAGTGAATGAGTTTCATCTTTGTAAGCTAGGACTGGAGCAGCATTAGGTTATTGTATTTAGTATCTAAATGTTGAACACTCGAGCATTGTTTCTTGAGGTAGAATGATGTAGTTAGCTTGAAGGGGGAATGTTGAGAAGGAGGACGGTGAAATAAAATAGCAATGGTTTTAATATAGTTCTAGATATTTATTTATTGGGAGTTTTAATGGTAAACTGTGTACAGAGCTGCTTGGTTATGTCTCACTTTTGGAAACCAGTTCTGTTTTCTTACCTTTTTTTTTGTCTTGTGAAATGCCCATGGTCTTTTGAGCTATTTCCCATACTTGTGGTGATGGTTTTCCTATGCCTTTTCCTCCTGTTTCATATGCCCAGCATTATCACAGCTCTGCTGAATGAGGTCCCAGCCTAACTACAATATTAACCCTGAAAATCTGTTCATTTTCTCCCGAGCAGCCCTGGGCAGGATATACAGGAGAATGTGTCCAATTGAAAAACTATTACAGGCTCCACAGTGCTGCGGTCTGCTAAATTGTTACAGGGCTGTGTTTTTCTGACAGAGAGGATCCCAGTAAGGGGGGTGATGCTGTCTATTCCATACAAGTTACAGAATTTATTTTTCTTTTTAGTCTCAGCTTTCTTTGTTGGCTTTTCAAATTGTTTGCCCGCTTTTGAGCACTGGAATGTGTACTGTACCCCACTGTGCACACTTTATCCTCAGTCAGTATCATTTCTTGCCTTCTTATTTCCACTTTTCCAGTCATCATTTTTAATTTTTTCTTCATTATTTTGCTAAGTACCTTGCTGCAGATCACTAACATCTTGGGTGGTGGTTGTACCACATAGCATTTATAGCAGACATTAGTTTTGCATAGCGTGTGTACCGTATTTTGTCTGGACTTGTCTTCATTGTGCTGCAGGCACCTCCTCAAGCAATTGTAGTAATTAAGAGTGGTATTTCTGCAAATTTATATTAACTTCTGCTTATGTAGAAACAGAGGAAGGAAAAAAAAAAGCAAAACAAGCAGCACTCCCCCCAACTCCAACATCTAAACTAGGCGTTTTTCTTCATCCTCTTCATTTTTATCAGTATTTGACCAAAGCTTGCTTTTGTATATGAAAGAAAATTAGTTAAGTACCTTGTGGTTTATAGATGCCTTTTGTTACGTATTACTTGGATTTATTGTGCAACACTGGCCTGTAAATCATTTGGGTTAGACGTTTACCTGGCTTACGTTGCCTTTATGGTTTGAATCTTTAACAGCCATGAAAAACATACATGTTTTCAACAGCAAAGGGCTTCGCCAGTCCAAATTCCCCGTAACTCTGCTTCAGCGAGGCTTAGTACCCAGATCTGTGAGATGTTTACAAAGAAGCCATTAGGTTTTGCAGCTAAAAGACGTGTTGAAAGAACAAAGAGAGTTTTGTGATGAAGTGTATCTGACTTCTCACTGCTTTGCTTACCTTTTAAATGTAAAACTGCATAATTTGCAAGGGCTTTTATTTCTCAGGGCATCTCTATAAGATTCCACCAGTGTGGAGCTTTCCTTCAGCAGAAAGCGCGGTCGTCCCAAAACCGCTCTCGAACGCATTTCTATTTTAATCCCCAGCTTTGAATACAGCCTGCCTTACTGGCTCGGGCAAATGGCTCTGCCCTGCCCCACCCCGCCGGGCGCGCAGACGAGGAGCACGCTGCTTGCTGGCGTTACATCCCTGCCTTTGTGACTAAAAGTTGGTTTCATCAGCATCAGCTCCCGCTCCACTTTGGGAGCCCGCCTGCCCGGGGAAGCCGCTCAGACCCGCCGCCTATGTGGGGCACGCAGGGGCAGCTCTCGCCATCCGTGTAACTTTTAAATGGAAGATGTCTTTCTCAAAGGCTGCCGATGTCCAGCGGTGTGCAGTGCGTGAACAGTTGACTAGTCCAGGTGTTTCTGCTTCTGTTTCTGTGCTATGTGAGTTGGAAATTCAAGAGAAGAGTGTGCAGAATGGAGGAGTTGAGGGTTCGTATTTCTCTTCTGACTGCATTGCAGTGACTGAGGGCTTGGGAAGGAACATAAATTCTACCTGTGGGTTTTAATTAAAGAAAATAGTAATTGTTCTTAGGCTTTCTGTCTGCGGCTCGTGGTGCTTTTGTCAGAGACTTTATCAGCTCTGAAGTATGAGAATGAGCTTCTTTCTCTTTTCTGTATGGATTGTCTGTCACGAGCAGTGTTCAGGAGGAACTTGTTGTATCAAGTGTGATTCCTACTTTGGGGGCTCAATCGCAGCATTTTGCCACGCTTTACCTATTTGAAATGCAGCCAGTTAAGACTTTTACAAGTGGATTGATTTTAAAAACTGCCAAAGATTTATCTGTGCTTTAATAAGATGAAAATGGTAAGCTGAGGCTGCAACAGAACTGTTGACTGGAGACTGTGGGTTTCTGCGAGGTTTTCAAGAAGATCATTAATCCGGGTCTATCTCTTCACAGGACAGTCGGCCCAATATGTCAAGACCTCTGATCACTAGATCCCCTGCATCTCCATTGAACAATCAAGGCATCCCCACTCCAGCACAACTCACAAAATCCAACGCACCAGTTCACATTGATGTGGGTGGGCACATGTATACCAGCAGCTTGGCCACGCTTACAAAATATCCTGATTCCAGGTAACTTTAAAAAGATTGTTCTGCATGTCTTTGGCAACTCCTTTTCTTCAATTTCATGCTTGGACGTCCTGGGGCTGTCTTAGAGCGATAAATTTAGTTCCTTTTGTTTCGGAATGAAATTAGGTTTCTTTGTTCATAGGAGGTTAGAGACTGACTTTTCTTTCTCTGATCCACTGTGTTTCAGACAAATGGCATCTTTGCAGATCCCTGTGTTTACATACTAAAACAAAGTAAAGAACACTGACTTTCTACCATAGTTCTTTGCCCGGCATACATTCTGTGGTTTATTACAATCAAAAGCTGTACAAATACTGCATGTAAGTCTGAAGTTGGGGGTGTTGGGATATTTGTTTTGTTTCACTTTTTTTTTAACCTTTCACTTTTTTTTTTTTTTTTTTTTTGGTCTTTTGGAGACCTTTTTTGCTGTATTGTGAAAGTATACTCTTAGATGTGTCACATGAGGTTATATGTAACAAAATATAGGACAGCATTAACTTCATACTTTTTATAGCATCTTAGGAATTTTTCAGATAATTAGACTCTTTAATTCTCACATTCTCACTTTATATATCTTCTAAATGGAAAATATGTGGCTTTGGTAACTTAATGGAATTAAATAATTAGAAAGCTTTTGAATGCATGAGTAAAGGGTTGTATGTATATAGAATAGATGTAATAGAAGTGCAGTTTTAAGAAAACGGGTTCACTGAACATATAGCATGAGAATGTTTCATAGTGGTGATAGCAGATAAACATGGCAGGATATTGTAATTCTAAAAGTGGTTATCAGAGGTTGACTGTGTCTGCAGCATTATTCTATAGCTACTCTAGAATAAGAACTTTTACCTTCATGGTCTTTCCTCACCAGCGTATGAGTAGGGGTGGAAGAATTTTAAGGCACAGCTCCCCTTTCTCCCCACCCACTTGTACTCCTCTTTCTCAGCTCTGCTCTGCTAAGGCAGAAAAGAAGCTCTGCATAGTATAGTCAGCATAGGTCTATGGTTTCATAGGAGCAGAAGACCCAAAGGGGTCTCAATGCCCCCTTGATGTGTGACCTTCTGCAGAGAGGTGGCTCAGTCTAACAGGACAGATGGATTAGTGCATGGGGGCTTAGTGGGAGAAGAGCAGTGCAATCTATCACATCCTTGGCCATAGGCATTTGGCAGCATTGTCACCTTACTAGCACTGATATCACTTTTTTTGCATGGCGATCACATAAATGATTTAAATGGTATTCTCCATCACAATGAGACTTGTAATTCATGTTTTGAGACCTAAAGAAATTAAAGAGAATCTTACAGTGAATGGAAATACTCATGCTAGTCCATGAGAGGATGTCTTGGTGGCATCCTGTCACTCTAGTTGAATCTCAGTTAAGTGGTTCATTTAGAAAGAACCCAGAAAGACAGAAAGATCCTTCCTGCAATTCAAGCAAGTTAATTCTCCTTTTCTGCTTCACGAGCAATTCCCTCTATTAATTATTGTCCTATCACATGACTGATCTCCAGTGTCACCTTTGCCCATTATTTTGAGCTATTTTAGTAACAGCAATTCACAGCTGAAGCATTTATTTAGATAATTTCTTTTGTCTTGCTAAGCTTTTGTTTCCATCAGCTCTTTTTTACTGGGTTGTGGGGAGTGATTTCATGAGTTTCCTGATCCCACAACACTAACTTGCCTTTTCAAAGGGCATAAGGTGCACTTAATGGAGTATGGTTTTGTTCTAAGAGTAGTTTTCACTGCTACTACTGCCTCTGCAGCATTGTCAGCATAGTTTTAAGTAGGACTGGAGCGCTTCTAACACTAAGACCTGACAGTGACAGGAAGAGAATGGTAAATAAAGGCATGTGAAAGAGAAACAGCTGGACACACGGCCTTTCTTTTAACACTTCAAGGAAGGCCAGGCAGAGAGAACTAATAGAGGCATTGCCAGATGACAGGCCTGCCTTGAGAGATTGAAGCAATGTCTGGAAAAACTCGAAGTGTTCTTTGAAAATGGAACCTACCCACATGAAGAATTTTTCTTAGGACCTGGTTGTGTTCAGCTTCTAGGATTGGTTATTATTTAGCATTTCCTCTGTAGCTGGGGTGATGACGGTGTCTGAAATAATAGGGAAATGCCTTCCTGCTGTGTATGGCTTCTTACAGTGCAGCAGAAGAGGCTGTTGCTATTAATGCATGCAGCTTCTGTTTGCATGTCGAATTCACCAGGACAGCGTATTTCTTTTTAAGTGCAGAAACTGAAGTATCTTTTCTAAGTGTTTAGTGGCAGTGGAATTTAAACTTAATGCATTCTACATTCAGTTGAGTTATTGTAACACTTTAAAGTGGAAGCTACGCCTCTAGTATCAAAGTCAGTTTAATAAATTAAACATTTTAAAGCTCTCCGAACATAGTGTATAGAAAATCCAAACTCTAAGTTATAGTCATTCTGTTTCAAGTCGTTCTGACATGCATTTATGTCTCAGTTCTGACAGAAAGTGTCTTTTGAACCCCTTGATGAGTGAATAATTCCAGCACAGCTATTAGATTCTGGAATTCCCAGTCACTTCCAGAACTTGAGATATTTCTTTTTTAACATCACTAGCTTCAAAAGAACAATTACTAAACTCGTTTGGATGTCAAGACAGTGGCATGAAGCAATAAGCTGGCAATTACGATACTGTAGTTTGTTTTTTGTCTATGAGATCTTAACAATTTATTTCCAGCGTTTTGCATGTGTGTGTATGGGGAGTTCTAGGTAGTACCCAGTAACGTTTGGACCTTAATACAGATTGTTCCTCAGAGCCTGACCTGGTCAGTCTGTACTCAACAGACTTTTTTAGCGTGTGTTACTCTTGTCCGAAGTTTTGGTCAACTTTGTTTAATATCTTCTTTTTCCACCAATATCACATTTGTGAACGAGATCAAAACTATGGCAGAGTCTCACAGATCTTTTTGGGTGAGTTGAAGCCTCCTGAGGCTCACTGTCACATGGAGTATTGCTTGTGAAAAATAAGGTCTTGATTATCTTGCCTGAAAGAGCACTGCTCCAGGGATGAGTCAAAGCATAGGTTGCAGGCTCCAGCATCTAACAGGTTGAGACACGAAAGTCATTAGGCTCCTGACTCGTATTACATGTAGTCTAAGGGCCAGAAGCCTAAAATGAACCTTTCATCTGTGGGCCAGGTACCAGAGTCATCTTTCTTTGTGAGATTGAAAGGGTGATATCCAAAGCAGCAGTTTTGGAGTCACTATGACTTGCCAGTGTAGGGGAGACCCATCCTGATAGAGCACTTTGTTTGGGAGCGTGTATTGTTCCTTCATCTTTTGGATTTAATAACAGCTGATCTTGTTCCTCTCCATTCTCTTGTTCTTGAACAATACAGTGGGAATTGGAAAGAGTTCCTTAACTAGTACCAGGTAAAGATTTGCAGTTTGCAGAGTACATTTTCCATAATTCTTTTGTTAGATCTCTGAAAGCAATTTATAATTTGATATGTAAAATTGCTACAGACAGGTATCTATCCTTTCCTACAAAGAAAACCTAGGAAAGATTAGAAAAGCATCTTGCTGCTGATGCTATGTCCCTGCCCCTTCCTATGGAAAGACCACTGTGGGCTTCCCTCAAATGTTCATACAAAGAACACTAGGAATTGAGGCCTAACTGAATTCTGGGCAAAGGCTGGTACCATGAAGCAATTCAGCAGACAAGCAGCTTATCTTCTGCTGGCTTGAATTGAGTAAATAAGCCTGGAATGAAAAATTCTGAAGCTGAAATAATGCTTACATTTCATTTAAAAAAATAATAATCAGCAGAATAGAATTTAGGGGATCCCAGCTTATATTCCTGCTGTCTTCACAAGGAAGATCCCATATAATCATTGCAATGCATCAGCAGGCTTCAGGATCTCCCAAGACATCATGCCTCAGACATGATCTCATGCTGCTGAATAAAAAAATTTGCCAGAGCTAGGCTTCATGAAGAGGCAATTGGAATCAGTGTATTTGCCAAGAGGACTTAATGTAAGGTCAATTTGCTGGAAAAAAAAAAAGTAATTTTCTTTAAATGCTTGAGCAGGGACAGATGTCCTTCTGTGCACCTCCCCCCAAGAAGATTGTAAGTTGTGATGCATTCACCCATGTGCAGACTGTTCCTCCTGCTTCTCAGTTGTTAATCAATGGTTATGCATATATCTATGTGAGCTAACCAAACAATGGTGTTTCTACTCTGTGAGGAGTCCTGTGGTTTTGGAATTTGTTTGTTTTGAACTAGGTTGTTCAGGATATTTCATAACACAGTGTTATCTATTAAGAATTCGGGCGCACTGTTTTATTTATGTTTTTAATTGTTTTTTTTCTGCAAAGGAAGTTTTCAGAAATTAGTCTGTTTTCGACAGCCCAGAGTAAGCCTCATGGTTTTTATTCCGGAGAAGATGGGTACCCTTTCTCATGGTCACCAAGGAGTCTGAGAAAACCAGGTTGAGGTTTTAGCAGAGATCTGATTATGAGCAGAGGAAGCACAGTCCTGTTAGTTCTGATTGTTGAACTTAAGCAGCTTACTCACCTTCTCTCAGTGCATTATCATCTTGCATAAGATCAAACTCTTTGCTTGGAGATGGCATTTCTACACCTTTAAGCTTTAATGCTGTCTGTATGGGAGGTACCAAAAGGTGCTGTGCACCAGGCTAAGACAAAGTCAAACAACTGTCACGACTAAATGGAAAAATGTTTGACTTTGACTCTATGGAGATCAGCTCTCTGCTATCTGCTATCGACTATATCAGCAGTGTGGTCTATCACAAGTTCAAAGCATATGAACTTCTAATTAGTACTGTCCAAGTCACACAGTACAAACCTTTGCATAATTCCAAAACATCAAATTGCCACATCCTGTATTCTCACTGTAGAGTTGAAAGATTTCATCAAAAGCCCTATATATTTTTTCCTTCTACAATCTGTTGGGGCATCTGTTTGCATTGCTACATCTCCCATCTTCAGTTACTCCCTGCATATGAAGG